AGAGTATCATTGTTATAAAATTATTTTAGAATAATGGCATCTGCATTTCATTTTGAAGCACGGCACGTCAATCTCTCCAACGTTAACACAGTTACGGCATCTCTTTGAAAGACGATTATGTGGCGTAACTCTCTACACAACTAGGTACACGTGCATTTTGCTATGTTGAAACCTGGCGTTGACGTTAGCGCACGTGCGCTACGCGCAAGTGCAAGTCGAGAACTAGATCGAGTAAGATAATTATGTTCGATATTTCGTAAGAGAATTACGCAAACATGCTCACTTCCGAAGCTTCCAGTTCGATGTTAAGATCGCAAGTGGTAAAATGCACGTTCTACGAAGGGTAAGTTCTTCGATCCTTTCAAAAATAATTATACAGTATCATATTGTACAATCAAATCAGCAAAAAAGAAGTAAATTTTATCGTTATTTTAGAAATTATATTATGAATTGTTATTATAACTGTACAAATTACAATATTACATTCAATGTTTTATAGTCTCATAAAATCCTGATCCTGAATTTCTTACATTTTGGTCAAATTGCTATTATTTCAGTATTTGTCTGCAGTAATGTATAGAAAGATTTTGTGTATAAAGTTCATATCATTTTATAAAAAGGGACATTTCCCGCAAAATTTTTCTTCATAAATCACGCGGTTGTACTACGACTGGTAGAGCAATTTGCTTATCATTTTAGTCACGAAATGCAAGCGGAGCAAGCAAAAGGTTCTCTGTTTAGATTTTATCTACGGAGAAATTCATGTTGATAAAAATTGTTTATTAATTTGCAAAGCAAAACAATATTTTTTATATTAGAAATTATAATTTAGTTCTATAATTTGTTAAAATAATATTGATTTAATCTTAACTCAGTATATCGTCTGTGTTTTCCCGGGATTATACTATTCAATTATTCATTTCAGTTTCTCCAATAATATATCATTGATTAATTATAAATAATGTATTATCTTCGTAAAAGATTATTCATTTTTGTGATATTGTTACAAATGTCAAACGGTTACAAATATCAATTTCTATAAATAGAGTAATAAATAGAGTATAGAAGTATAAATAGAGTATAAATAGAGTAAGGTGTAATAAGTGGTTTAAAATCTTTATAAAATCACTATTAATTTATAGTTCTCATCTTAAGAAAAACTTGCTGTCATTCAACAAATAAAAGAAAAACAAGTCAAACGAGAAAAGAAAGCTATTGACTGCGCTTTACTAACTACCGCGCTTTACTTTCATTTGCCTTAATTATTATTATTATTTCGAGAATTAGGAGAATTGTTCTTTTCTAAAAAAGAGAAAAATTTTGCATACGCAATTATTTTGGTGTAAAAAAATGAAGTGCTCGCATTGAGAATCTGAATAAATTCGCATTATGCGACTTTTCTAAGTTCTGTGCGCAAAGTCGAATTTCACTGCTTGTGTGAAGTCGAGCAAAAAAGCTTGTTAGTGGCGCAGCGCGTTCAATAATATGAATAATTAACGTGTTCAACAAATTAACTCGTCGACATTTAAATCCTCTAATTTCGTAATTAATAAAGTAGATGCATTCTGTGTGTCATATATTTTATATTAACCTGCATAAACATTAACTCATATTTACTCATTTAATTAAGGCACATTAATAATTATCTTATTATGGCGTAGATAATTTCTTTATCACTAATGATATATAATTTATAACTTCAAACTAAACGATTTTCAAGATTTCGGAATAAAGCTATACATAATCTATGAATTTGAATTATTTTACATGAATTAAGACTTATGCGCACCTATTCTCGCGCTGACTCTTAGTAGCCTTAATTTTATTGTTATTTATTATCCAATTTTATTTTTATAATATAACAATTATTTTATACAAATTTATTATTAATTAAAATTTTACTTAATTTGTAAAAATAATTATCTTTGAAATTAATCACTCTAATTAATATATGTGTCCGTGAAAATACCATTTTGCTGAAATTAAAATGTTCCGTCGAAATTGAATAAAATCGCGAAGGTGTATAAATTTTTTATTGATTTTTGTTCTTTTACTGCGTATCCTTCAACCTTCCGATATCGGACGAACTACTAATTTCCAGTAAATGGTGCGCATGTTATTGTGCAGATATAGAAAGCCGATTTATATATCGCTTCGAAAGTTTTCATATCAAAGATAAAGGTTATAAAGTGGATACGATCTTTTCCGCGGCGTACCTTCGTTTTTAGTTTTGCGATAAGCTTCTTATCTCTAAAAACGATGTAAAATGAATTCTAAAATATCATAAATTTCAATGATGAATATAAAGTAATGATATGTTGTTTTAAACAAATTTTTTAAACTAATTTATTCTTTGAGAATGAATAATTCGTATATGTAATATAATATTCATGTGAATATTGGCTAAATATGAACAATCACGTTTTAATTTTCACATTCGAAAATAACTATTCATTCAAGAATCGCACTCGAATCGTTGATTCGGTATCGATCCGTTCCATATTATAATTCTTAGCACAGGAAAATTGTATTCATATATGCAACTTATCGCGAATAGTAGGGAACTTTATACATATATTAAAGAAATGCTACATTATTTCTAGCGAAATGTCAATGACTAACATTTGACAGGACCTAAGTGGAACTTTAGTGAATGTCGATATTTTTCACGTTTCTTTCTTATCCTTGGAATGCGTGTTGTCAGCCTTCTCAGATAATTTGAAAAGTAAACCCTTACTATTGAGGGCTATTTCCATTCATACTTCTACAAAGTGAACGAGAAAATCTTGGAATGTGTTCGAGTGACAAAGATCTCTAACAGCTAATATTTTTATTGATAAAACCATACAATAAATTCAAGGTTGGGTAGTGCTAAATTAAAAAGATAAAAGTTAAGTTAAAAAATTAATTAATTTTAACCTAACTTAGTTACATTTTAAACTTAATTTTTTAACTTAATTTAGTTACATTTTATT